AAGCTGTTGCTCATGAGATAAGCACCATACTTCTGTTACTGCTGAGGTGACCCCGCCCTTTCCCCGGGACATGCATGGGGGGAGGGGCTTCTGTGGTGGCCGCTCACAGGCTGCAGCTCCTCATTCTCCTTTGCAGAGCCCTGGGGCCTCAGAGCCTCGCCCCTGCTGCAGTGCAGCCAGAGCCAGGCGGCTCAGGCCATCAGGTGGGTTCCTGTCACCTCACTTTATCTGGACGTGGGACAGCCTCACGTGGCCAGGGTGACTCCACGGCCGGGCAGATGTCTTGCTTTGTCAGTGGCTTCCTGTGCCGAGTGGCCAGTGAGAGTCTGGGCACGCCGAGCCTTTCACATTTCTGCGCTGCTCTCCGCCCTCCGCTGGCTGACTGCCCGCGGTGCACTGGAGGTGCTCGCTGGTTTACGGCTCCCTGGGTTTGCTGAATGCGTGCTGGGCTCTCTTAAAAGTGCCTTGCCTGCAGGGGCTTGTGTCTCCCGGGGGACCCTCGCCCACCAGGAGCTGTCTGTCTTTGATGCTGGCATCCCCCTCACTTTAAGCACACTTAGAGACTGGGCATGGTGGCTTAGGCCTGTAATCCCAGCACTCGGGAGGCTGAGGCAGGAGGATTGCTGTGAGTTCAAGGCCAGCCTGAACTGCATAGTGTGACCCTGTCTCAAAAAGACAAAGAAATAAAAAAAAAAAGCACACTTAGCCTACCAATCTCGCCAGATCCACTTCCATATGCTTACATTTGCATGTGACACGCGTATTCCCACTCACTCTGTGCAGTCCAACAGTTCGCACTCTAGTTGGTATAATTACTGATGTGTCGGATTAGGCTTATTCCGTGTTTGTATCACCTGCCCTTCGCTGTTTTCTTCTGTGGTGTGTCTTCCCAGAGAGATGTAAAAGCAAACGTCTGCCCCCACACTGAGCGGATGCTGACAGCCCCAGAACGACTCGGCCGGGTCCAGCTTGGTGGTCAGCGTTCACCAGGTCACTCGGAGCGGTGCAGCCTGAGGCTGCAGCACAGCGCGGTGGCCGCTGCACACGGGGCTGGAGGTTTGCAGAGTGCTGACTGCAACCGCAAACTCGAGGTCGAAAGGAACAGGGTGTTCATGAGGAGCGGCAGGTCTCAGCCAGCACCGTCCAGCCATGGGGCCACGGACCTCGTGCTAGAGCCTGGCCTCGGTGCCAGCGGGGACAGCAGATGGGGACACTGCGGCCAGGGCTCAGAGGACAGTTTCCCTCACATCTTCTCACGGCCTGCAGGGTTTGGATAAAATGGTATTTAAACGGATTCTACCTTTTTGGTTTTGTTTTCTTTCAGGGGCTTACACCTTAACTTAGTGTATCTGCCTCCAAGTGGTTCACTCCGTGGTGCAGAGCCAAGTTTCTGTGTGGACACTTCTGCCTGGAGAGCTTCTCGCCCTGCTCAGAGTCAGGCCTGCCTGCGCCCCCTCACCTCACTTTCACTTACCTAAAGTGTCTCTTGCTGCCTTACTGAAAGGTGTTTTTAGCTGGAGTTCTCGGTTGGCTTAGTCTTCCCTCTCTCCAAAGACGGCCCGGCTGGCTCGCCGACTTTCTGCTGAGAGGCCAGGTGTCCTTCTTACCTTTGTTCCCCCACAGTTGTTTTTTTCCCTGGCTGCTTTACATTTTTTTTCGATGGTTTTAGCAATGTGCTCCGTGTCTGTTTTTTTTATTTAACTCTGTGTGGTGTCTTGGACACAAGTTCATAGATTTGAAAACTTCTGGTCACTACTTTGTCAAATGCTTTTTCTTTCCTCCTGTTACGGTGTAAGTACGCAGTGTACCCCATGCGACCCCTCTGCCCCACGTGTTAGGCCCAGTGCAGGAAGTGTCGCTGGGCTTCCGGCCCCCTTCTCTGGTTCTATGCTCTCTGCTCCCTGGCTGCCCAGGTGAGTGGCTTCCTGGCCACGATGTCCTCCCTCACCACAGCCTCGGGCAGGGATGTGAACCTTTTCGAGATGAGCACCCGAACTGCAACCCAAAACCCAATTTATCGCAAGGTGGCAGCATTGCAGTTAAACCTGAATACTGAGGTTTTAGTTTAGAAAAAACAACTCACACATTAACATCTTTTTCCTAAAAGAAAAACACCACCATAGTTGCCACCCCTGGCTGAGGGTGATGCAGCAAGAGGCTGCAGACGGGAGCGTCTAAGACCAAGCGGGCGTCTCGTCCCAGCCGCAGACGGGGGACTAACCCCAACCCCTTTCCTGGGCTCCAGGGCCCTGCGACCATCTGATGCCGTCTACTTTCTGTTTCTCACTCACCCAGTTCCTGTTTTCTCCCAGTGCCCCTCTCGCACGGTCCCCGCAGGGTGTGACGCAGTGGTGGACGGCACCCCTGTGCCTCTTCCCAGCACCCCAACTTTGCGCAGTGGACCCTGCTCCAGCAGCATGGAAGAGGGCTGGGAACAAGGTGCAGATGGCAACACGGAGGTCGTCGGCTACCAAGTAGGCCAGGAGGTTGTCACCAAGACCCTACCTGTCAGGAGCCGGTCCAGCGCTTGGCCGTGACCCAACACCCTTCTGAGGGCACCATGCCCGGCCCCCATCAGCCAGCAGACGTCTCCTCCCTCACACTCACTCCAGACCGGGACGCAGCCCCTCAGCCTGCTGTGAGTCCTTGTGATACAGTGAGGGGCCGGCTGCAGCCGAGGCTGTGGGCAGCAGTGCGCACGGGGCCTTGTGTAGCCAGGCTCCCCGCTGCCCATGCAGCTGGCTTAGAGGATGCAGGGACAGGCCTGAGGTCAGGCTGCTGTGCTCTGGACATGACCACGTCTGCGACACCACTCGTACATACCCAGGGTTCTGTGCCACTGTTAAATGCCCATCCCCCGCTTGTGGTGGGCTCTGCACTGGGCTGTCCCTGCCGTGGCCTCAGGAGCAGCCCCGTGACTCCCCGTGGAAGGGGCAGTGACACACATCACCGCTGTGCTCAGCACCCAAGATCCGGGGTATGGATGTCACCTCTTCCCTGTGCCACCTGACCTGCCAGCCCGGGGCATGGGGAAGGTGACACAGCGCGGGGCTGCTGCAGCTGGCCTGCCCGAGAGGACAGTGACCCCCAATCTCAGCAGCTTCCCTTTCTCGCCTGGCGGATGATGAGCCATCACGATTTGCTTCTTTCCTCTACAGCTGAGCTCCCCGGTCTAGGATCTTGGCTCCCAAGGAACACTCCCAGCTGGGCCTATCTGCCTACTGCTGTGCCTGGGCCACCTCTGCTCCCGAACTAATGAACTAACGGGCAAGAAGAGTGAAACAGGATCAGAAAGCCACAGGGGGGGCTGCCGCCAAGTGGCGAGATGAGCGCAGGATGGTAAAGGCCCTGGACACCTTGGAGAGTGACTCTTCCCACTCCTCTGCCTCCTGGCTCTGGGCGGGGCCAGGAAATGAGGGAGGGCCGCGGGGCTGGCTGGGCAGGCCTGGGCACGTGGTGAGCCATGCATTGGCCAGTTAACTGGTCACCTACCTCCCACCTCGGCACCCCCCCCTTCCATTCCAGGAGCACGTGGTGGCGGGGAGGGTGAACTGTGGGACGGTCTGGGTCAGAAACGTCTGGTGTTGGGAGGTGGGGCCTTGGGGAGGTGATGGACTGTGGCCCTGCACTCGCTTTTGCCCCTAGATCCTTTATGGGTCACACAGGACTGGTCGCAACTCATTTGCTCCCCAGCTGGTGCCACGTGGTCAAGGCTTTGCCCGGTGGGAAGCCCAAGCCGACTCCCCGAGAGCCCGGTGCTCGCCTGCTGCGCTGCCTGTGACCCTCCGGGGCCCGCCCTACTGCCGGAAAGCGGCTGCCGCACATGCGCAAGCTTCCAGACCCCCACAGGGCTGTGCCGAGACTGACCGTAGGCTCCGCCAGTCTGGATGCCTCCCGCCACCCCCCCATAAGCAAGACACATGCCGCACTCTCGGGGTCCACGCCTTCATGCCATTTATTCTGCAGGGAGCCCAGGCTCTCTGCACAGACCCCGCCCTCCCCTTGTACATCCACAGCTCCTACAAAGCTAAAGGCTCAGGAGGCACAAACATCCATTCGGTCTGCGTCTCAGAGCTTTCTGAGTGGACATGCACTTCAGCGAAAACCCTTCATCTGCAGACGGCAGGGAGGAGCCCAGCCCCTCCCCTGGAACATCTTAGTTTACTGACCTCCTTCATGGGTCGCCTTTAGGCATTCCTGCTTTAAAAATGAATCTTTATATGCCAAGTGTGGTGGCACACGCCTGTAATCCCAGCACTCAGGAGTGAGGCTGAGGCAGGAGGATTGCTGCAAGCTCAAGGCCAGCCTGGACTACACAGTGAGTTCAAAACCAGCCTGCACTACACAGTGAGACCTTGTCTCAAAAAAATTAATCTTCATGTGTGCTATAGTTATAAAATTGTCACTGTCCATTTCCCAGGTGCCCAGCATGCCAGGACCTGAATGCCCTGCTCACATGACGCCGTCCCACTGACGGCGGTGTGGCGCTGGTGACGGAGGGGTTTGGTCTCCCAAGACCCCTGGAGAGATGCGGGCTGCCTCTGGGGCGCGGGTGAACGCATTCTCGACTGGCCCTGGCAGTGCCCTGCAGCGGCGATGCCCAGTGTGCACTGACTCACCTCAGGAGTGAAACAAAGTCCCCAACAACCCTGGAGCCCCTCCGGGGAAGAAACCCCACCCACAGCCACCCCTGTGCTGCAAGAGCCGCCGCCGCCGCCGCCGCCGAAGGTGGGGTGGAGAGCCAGGGGAGCAGACACCGCCCTGTGGTCGTGCCTGCCCCTTCCTGAGCTCAGTGACAGCTGCCAGCCTGCCGCGGGAGAGCAGGCACAGGGTCACACCGGAAGGGGAGCAGGGATGAGGCCATGGCTTCCGGCCAGGACCTCCTGGGGGCGGGGGATGAGCTGCTGGCCCCCGGCCGCATGCAGGGTGCACACGGGGACCCCAGAACACCCACTGTCCCCTCCTCCCACCCGCTTTCCATCTCAGGCTGGAGCCTATGCTACAGTGAAGTAGATCTTGTTGTGCTGAAACAGAACCACCAAAATGGTAAAGTTATAAAAAAGAGGGGATTCCAAAAGGATGGAGACCAGAGGCACCTTGGGGCCGGGTGCAGGGGGCACCGGCTGGGCATGTATGGCCGTGCCCGAGACCGCCTCAGAGTCTGTCAGGGAAGGGCCAACAAATAAATGACCTCCGAGCTCAACAGGAACAATGAAGTAGAAAAAACATTTCCTCTTTTCCTAAAAAAATGCTGAATATCTTCTGAAGTACCTAAATGAAGTTATAAAATACGCATGAGCTCGCGCGCAAATATAGAAATGTTTAAAAACCAGATGGTGGTGCCTCTGTGTTGTGACCCCAAGGAGGCGGAGGCCCCACTGGCTCACAGCGCAGGTGACCCCGAGTATGACCGAGGTGGCAGAGGCCGCGCTGGCTCAGAGCGCAGGTGACCTCAGCTTGACCAGACAGGATGGGGCTTCAGGAGGGGATGGCAGGAACTCAGACCGGACTCTCCGTGTGGAGCAAGGGTGTGCTTGGCGCCCACCCGGCCCCGGCCCGCGTCCCGAGGCCCGGCTCCCCACACACTCTGAGCTCAGACTCTTCACGGAGAAGCACTGCACAGGGCCTGGGTCTCCCGGAACTCAGCCCGAAGCCCTCAGGCGCAAGACGGAGGTCCCTGGGGACTGGGCTCCTGGTTGTATGGAGTTGGCGGCTGTGGGAGGGGCCTGGTCCTCGGGTCCACGAGCCCTAGTCCAGTTTCTTACAGGGTGGCTTGTCCAAGTCTGAGCTCTCGGGGCTAAAGTCGGTACAGAAGCCGTTGGGGGTCAGCGTGGGCGGCGTCTGGGCACAGCCGTGGAAGGGCCGCTGCTCGGGGTACAGGTACTCCTCGGCGAAGTCGGGGTACAGCTCTGTGAACCTCTGAAAGTCGGCTGCAAAGACAAGGGCACCCATGGGCACCGGGAACTCGCGGGCAATGCCTGGGCGGTGTCCCCTGAGGCCCTGGGGAGCGAGAACCCCACCTCAGGGTCCCGGCCTTCCTATTGGCCTGGTCATGCCATGCTGGGAGGACGCTAGGGACCTGGCGAGGACACAGCACTGTCCCTGGGCCGGGGCCCTGGCCCTGCAGTGAACAAGGGCACCGGGCGCTTGGGAACACACTGCTGGCAGGTCGATGGGGCGCAGACGGCCCGGAGAACACTCCCAGGTGCGGCACCGCACGAACCGAGTGCCCTCGCTGAGCGGGTGCGTGGGAGCGGCCCCCGGCACTGCCAGACGTCCACACTGAGCTGAGCGCGCTGCCCAGCAAGCGTCCATGTAATTCAGAACAAACTGGCCGCTGCCCGGGTGACCCTGCTGTGCCCCCAAGTCCCCGAGATCCTTGCTGTTGCCCAGCTCCGGCGCCCTGCACGTGAACACAGTTCCCTGAGGTCTGGCTCTGCCATCCCTGTCCTCAGCTGCCCGCTCCCTGATGGCGGTGGCTGCCCTCGAGGGTCTCCTGCCCATTCTCCTCTCACGGCATCTGCAGTGGGCAGAGTGCTTTAAACATGGACTGGCTGGCTTGGAGCCCGCCGGGAGCCACGCGGGACACCCGCCCGTCAAACACCGTCAGGCCGCCGCAGTGCTCCCTGGGACAGTGCTGCCCGGCTCAGGCGCCCGCAGCTGCCATCCTGCGTCCTCGCCTTTCTGACACGCACAGGCCAGGGCCACAGGGGGCTGGGCTGCGTCGTCCTCCCCACAGGGGACCCCGACCCGCCCTGAGCTGCTGCGGCCCGGCCGACAGCATCTACACAGGCTTGAGCTTGAGACGCCGGTTCCGTACCTGAAGAAACCATGCACGTCCTCCTCACCCACTGCCTGGCGAGGTCCACCGGGCCTGGGCCCCAAGGCCCCCTGGCACCGCACTCCACCTACCGAATGAGATTCTCCCCTTCTCCTCCTGGTCGATGGCCCGGAACAGGTCTGTGACAGACAGCTCTGCCACGCCCAGGGCGGCCCTGAGGATGCGGGCGAGGTGGTCCTCCTGGATGCTCCCATCCCCCGGCGCCCCGTACATCTGCGAGGTACAGCGGCGTCACTCGGCTACCCCTGGCCCGCCTGTCCTCGGCGCCCTGCTCTCAGGACTGACCATGCTCCTTGATGTGGCAGGGCTGTCTGGGGGCGGAGCAGTGCTTGGCCCTGGTCTCTAGCTGGGTCGGGAGCCTTGGGGCAGCTGGCAAGCCTCCTCATTCGGGCGGAGTGAAGCCCAAGAAGGGAGCAGAGCACGGGCCGGCTCCACAGCTGCCCCAGGAGCCAGGCTGGGTTCACCGTCCGTCTGTGCCAAGCGGGTCTCACAGCAAATGAGCAGATGCACACCTGCAACGCCACCTGGTGGCCGCGCAGGAAACCGCGGCGCCACGAGCAGCACCGCCTGGAGACCGAAGCCAGCGCAGAACCCCCGCAGTGCCCCGAGGCACAGACCCGGGTCTCCTGCCACAGCTTCCTGGGCCCAGGAAAGCACGCGTGTGGCCCTCGCGTTCGGGGAGGGGCACGTGAAGAATGAGGCCCTGCCCTGGGAAACGGCATCCCGGGGAGGGCACAGGCCGTGGTGAGGGCACCAGGGAGGGGAAGGTGGCTCTCCTGAGACGTGGGACATGCGACCAGGACAAGGGATGCCCCCCCCACAGCAGTGACGCTGCCAGCCCTCAGCACAGCTCTCGGGCGCTTTACAGACAGCGTCAACACCCAGGCCCTCTGGCCCCCCTCACCTTGAACGCCAGCTGGATGGTGTCCAGGGTCTGGGACGGCCGGCACACAACCGACAGGGCCACCACATACTCCCGCAGGTCCACTTCACCACAGCCGCCCTGCAGGAGAGACGCGCTCGGCTGGGCATCCGGGCCACACGCAGGAGAATGACCAGAGGGAGGCCGGAAGCTCAGCACCAGCACAGGTATGGCACAGGCCAGCTTGGGGGGTGTACGTGTGGGTGATTTTCAAGTCACAGTTCTATTTCTGTTTTGGGTTTTTAAGATAGTCTCCCTACATAGCCCAGGGTGGCCTGAAGCTCGAAGCGATCCTCCTGCCTCAGCCTCCACAGGTGCTGGGATTACAGGTGTGTGCCACCATGCCTGGCTACAACTCACATTTCTGTATGCGCCAGAGCGCACTGGGGATCCAGGATGACAGTGGGGTGTGGGTGAGGGTCCCCTCTACTTTCAGAGCCGTCTCACGTGTTTGAGCCCCATGAGACCCGCGCACACTGGAAGCAGGTGCCTGCCCACCTCGTCGAAGAGCGCGAACATGTCCTCCAGCACGTCCGAGTGCGGCACCTGCAGGTACGCCGAGAACTCCGCCAGGCCGACCTTCTCGCCCCGCTTCCCCGTCGCCCTCTCTGAGTACTTGTCCAGGTCCTTTTCAAGCTTTTCCGGCCTCAGCCTAAACAAGATCTCAGTAAAATCACAGAAGGCTCAAACAGACTTGCCATGCGAGAGCGGCCAGTGAAGCCTCCCGGACGGCCCCAGGGCGGCCTCCAAGCAGAGGTCCAGCGCCCCGCACAGGCTGCAAGGCCCTCCACATGGACTGAAACTGTATCTGAAGAGTGAGAACAAAATCGAGGGCTCACGCCTGTCTTCCTCGCCACACAGGAGGCTGAGGCAGGACTGAAAGCTTGAGGCCACTTGTGTGACCCAGGGAGACCTTGTGTTAAGACTAAAAATTAAGGGCTGGGACGCGGCTCACGGGGAGAGCACCTGTGTGTGGTCCTGGGCTCAAGCTCCTGCACCCCAACCCCAAATAATCACAGCTGGCACCGTAACAACCATCTCTGCTGTGGTCTGCCCTGGGTCTGCGGCGAGGGCCGGGGGCTGAGGACACTCACCCGAGGCCTCGCACCAGCCTGGCGAACTCCAGCAGGCAGGAGTCGGGCGGGAGGCGCAGCTGTCCCCCCGCCAGCGCGAGCTGGCAGTCTTCAAACGTGTAGTCAGTCACAGAAACACCCAGGGCCCTGTGGGAGAAGCCCTGTCAGCTGCCAGTCCCTGGGGCAGGAACACAGCCGCCAGGGCCAAGGACACCCGAGAAGCCGTCCCGACACCTCGGGCCGTCCGCACACAGCCACGGAGGCACAGCCCCTGCCCACACGCCAAAATGCCTCGGGAATGTGGGGTGCTGACTGGGGTCGTCAAAGCCTGTGGGGTACCTGTCTCCCACAACCGTGTCCCTGGCCCCACTGAGCTGGCTGTGACCACAGTCGCCGTCCCCTCCCGATGTCTGCAGCCCCTGCCACCGTGCACCCTGACAAGGAGGACCGAAACGGGACCATGGACGGGCCCTCGGCGGGGTGGGGTCGCTAGCTGTGAGTCAAGCACTTCCTGTCTAATTAAATACCGAAAAGGCAAAAGCCACAAGCGTCGGCCGGCATGCGTGCAGACAGCAGGGACAGGCCAGCTGCCCGAGTCGGGTAGCCGTGCCGCTGTGGGAAAATCCAGCCTGGCAAGGCCCCCACCCTGGCCTTGGCATCAGGGAGCCCGAGAAACTGGTGCCTAGGAGCCCGGCAGGAAGAGCAGGGGCGGGCACAGCGCGAGGGCACCGCGGTGGGGGCACGCTCTCCTGCCCGTCCTCCGCAGGGCTTGGGCCCTCCCGCCCTCCCGCCACCCCGCGGAGCTCCCCTGCCCTCGGGTTCCGACGCCCCAGCAGGCTGCGACGCAGCACTCACTCGGCCATGACGCGCCGCACGTTGGCTGCGAACAGCGCGGGGTCCCTGCGCTCCTCGGCGGATGGGCGGTACACGGGCAGAAACTGCAACAGAGAGGCCAAGAACCGGGTCCGCTGCGAGCCCCTCGTGTGCACACGCGCGTCTGAGACACCCGGGCCTGCTGACCCCGCTGGCGGTACGCGCGTCTCCCGCACATCCCCCTGCCCCAGTCTCCACGCAGAGCGGCCTCTCCATCTGGGGCAGCTTCAAACTACGACTCCTCCCACCACACGCGCGCTAGAGCCCTGCTGCGAGTTTACGGAGGAAGTCCACGTGCTGCCATTCCCGGCCCCTTCTTTTTCCTCTTTTTGAGACGGTTTTTCGCTACGCAGTTCAGGCTGTCCTTGAATTCCCTTTGTAGCCCAAGCTGAACGTCGGCGATCCTCCTGCCTCAGCCTGCGCCACCACGGCGGTTTTCCCTTCTTCTTAACAAGGATGTCCACTGACACAGAACACCCCGAAATCCCACCTACTCTGCGTAACTTTAAAGTAAGTTTTGAATTCTGTAATTACAACATCCCCTCCCTGCGCTCCAGCGTCCTGTGTGAGCAGGGCTATCGGAGGTGTTATACAGAGCCATTTGGTCTCTTTTCTCTTGGAGCGAGAGACCAGGACTGAATTGGAACTGCTACACAGAGGAGGCCTGGGCAGCAGGAGTGAGCGCAGGCTCGTGTTCTTCCCGGGCCAGGCCAGGGCTGCCTCAGAGGCCAAGCCACGCATTAGTGTCCCATCCGGCAGGGCCTCAGGCATGGCCCCCCACAGCCGTAGTCCCCTCTGTCAGCAGTGAGCTCGGGAGCAGCCTGGGCCAGCGTGCGCTGCCTTTGCTGGGGGCAGAGAGGATTCACTGAATGTGTGCTACACAGCACTCGCCCTTGACTTCAGATGCAAGCACATTACGCCAAGGCCCTTTGCAAGGACGGCTGTCTCCTCACCATTCAGAATTTCTTGGCCCCTGCCCGGTGTGGTGGTGCATGCCTGTAATCCCAGCACTTGGAGGCTGAGGCAGGAGGATCATTGTGTGTTTGAGACCAGCCTGGGCTACAAAGTGAGCTCAAGGCCAGCCTGAACTGCATAGGGAGACCCTGTGTCAAAAAGACAAAAAAAAAAAAAAAAAAAAAAATTCCTTGGTCTCACACACGTGACTGAGCAGGACTCATCCCAGGGGATGGTGCCAGGACCCTGAGATCTCAGATGGCAAAATGGGGAGGCTGGTGGGTGAATACAGCAGGGTGGATTCGGCAGTAATTTTGTGAGGTAAAAACAAAAGTGAAGATATGTTCATTGCCTGTGAGCCAACTTTATAGTCTCTTAGGCCACAACAACCAAGATAAAAGGCCGGTCTGGGTTCCTTGTCTGCTAGGGTCCTGTCCGAACGGCAGGGACACGGAGGTGCCGAGTGAAGGGTCAGGAAGCCGCCCGGGGGCCGAGGGTGGAGACAGGCTCAGGCAGGCTTGAGGCACCGTCTGACACTGCTCAGCACTGTGCACTGGGGCTGGGGTCGAGGCCATTCCGAGTCTGTGTCCACACCCGCGGGATGGTGGCCCTGCACACACGAGCCCCCCGACAGTCCCTGGGGACCCTGTGACTACCCACCTCGATCTCCACCCGATTGTGCAACTGGCACAGCGTGAGCCACAGGATCTCCAACCTGGGAAGGCGGAACAGACGTGCGCACTGTCAGGGAGCCCCTGGAGCTCGGGCTGCTGCCTGGTCCTGGGCCGGGGCCCAGCTCCCCTCCGCAGGGTGGGGCAGGGACGCATTTCTCAGCGGCTTTCACTTCTGTTTTTCCAGTATCCGGCCGTCTTTGGTTATCCAGCAGGCCATCCTCTCCCAGGTGCCCTCCAGCCAGGGAACCTCGTCCCCTGCACACCCAGCCCCACGCAGGGAGCTCGGCCTGAGCCCCGGTCACGCCACAGCGCAAGCCTGGCTCCCGGGGCCCAGCTTAGAGCTGGCCTCGCCACCCTGGTGGGCGGGAGTGGAAGTGGCAGCCAAGAGGCCCAGGCCCTGGGCCAGCGCTTACCTGCCAGGCTGACCCCGATGCCACCGCTTGCCCCGTCACCCTCAAGGCACCTGTGCAGCTGGCATCCCGCCCTGCCTCCCCGCAAGGGGATGGGCCCCCACCAGTCCTCCCAGTTCAGCCCAGCTCAGCACTGTCGTCCCCGCCCTGTGAGCACCACTCACAGCTCCACGGAGCCTCAGGGGCTGTGCAGGGCAGGTGCTGGCTGGGCCCCCTCCCAGGGCTGGGCCTCCTCCAACCCCAGGGCCACAGGTGCCTGAAGCCTGTCACATGTGAAGGACCCGAGCACATCTGCCGGCTCAGACAAGGGACCCACATCCCACGTGTGGGGGTGTCAGAACCCGCCACACTCGGGTACATCCTTGAGGTGGGCAGAAGCGAAGCTACTGGACAGCAGGGCTCATGTGAGCCTGCTAACAGGGCACACGGGGTCGCCAAGGGCTCATGCGTCCACACACAGCACAGATAGACACAGTGTGCAACTTACGCGCCAGGGCCCTGCCACGTCCATGTGATGGTGTCCTGCGGGACAGGGGACAGGTCACCACGTGCAGCCACCCTGCCCTGCCCGCCTGGCCCTCTCCTGTGCTCACCCTGGGGCAGGGAGCAGGGTGCTCGTGCCCTGCGTCACCAGCCCAAGGACGAGGAGCATCACCTGCCTGAATCCCACCCCGGCCCCTTTCCCACCTCCCCGCGCAGGCGTCCCAGCGACCTTCGCCCGCCACGTGGGCCCACCCTCCTGGGTGTGTAGGCAGTGCCGTGGCACCTGTACCGCCCACATGGAGCCTGCTGCAGGCTCACCCGAGCTGGGGTTCCCCAAGGTCACTCTGGAGGCCCTGCACCCCAACTGCCCCTTTTGTTCTGTTTCCTTAAAGGAAACCCGTGCCCTGAACACAGACCGGAAAGGCCGCTGGCACAAAGCCCCTGGCTCTGCCTATCCCACCTCCTGCCCCGCCATGCCGGTGCCCAGGACAAGACGTCCTCATTCTGAAACGCCTGCGAGTGTGAGCCAGGCCGCAAGTGTGGGCCCGTCCTGCTTCCGGGCCGGGGTGTGCTGTCCACCTCTGTCCGTGGTGAGGGACAGAGCGAGCTGGCCACACCGGGCACTGAGACCCACGCAGCCTCACCCACACCGGTCTGGGGAGCCCCACTTACCAGCCTGTTTGGGTATCGAAGCACCACAGGCTGCACAGGGACTCCGGGGATGAACGCACCTGGGGGGAGAGGCTGTCTCAGGCCACGGGCAGGGTGGGCAGCGGCCCTAGCCACGTCCCCTGCTGGCCTCCGAGAAAGCCAGCCTCCGCCTCAGCCCTTCCTAGAGACGCAAGACCCGCACCTGGGCTGCCTCTGCAAGATCAGCACAACCTAAATACCCGGACAGGCCAGGTGCCTCCCCAGCAGCAAGCCAGAAACCAGAGCCCAGCACCCACGGGCTCCACCCATGGGGGGTTGGGGCCCATTCCGGGTCTCCCCCCACTGTCAGTCACAGTGGACAGACCCACCCGGCCCAGGCCTGCTCTCAGCCTGGGCAGCTGCTGCTGGGGACCTGGGAGACAGGGGCTTGGGCCTGAGAACATCCTACTTCCTGCTGAGACGGTGGCTGCTGCCCCTGCCAACTCCATTTGCCAAGCCTGCTGTCCATAGTGCCACCGTGGGCGACGAGGCCCGTCAGGTGTCCCGCAAAGCCCTGCTGCAGTCACAGTTCTACCCAGGGCTTGTCCTTTCAGCGGGCGAGTGTGGGTGTCAGGAGTGCTGGACGTGATGGTACAGGCGCACATTACAGGAGGCGGCATGCCCCTGGGCCCACACGGAGGCCACTGCCTCGTCCCCAGGCACCTGCAGGGTCAGCGTCCGCTCTGGGATGAGGGGTGCTCAAACTGCCTTTGCTCAGCTATGCCAGAATCTGGCTGGTCTTGGCTCATCAGGGAGGGCTGAGCTGGGGTTGGCACCCCACCTTTCAGGAGTGTCCGTCACGGGGGCCACTTCTGTCCAGCACCAAGGCTGTGTGTCTGATGGTCTGCACTGGCCAGGCCTGCCCAGTGCGGGTTGTACCAACACTGCAGGCACTGACTTCCCACCAGGCCCATAGCAGACAGAGACAGCGGGAACACATACGCCCGGCATTCTGTGCCCAGGTGGAGGTGGCCTCACACCAGGGCACAGGCAGACATGGCACTGACATCCCCTGGTGGCAGAGCTGAGATCTGGATATGCACGCTAGTGAGGAGATGCGTAGCCCACAGGCCAGGCGGAGACCCACGTGGAGCGCCATGTCCGCGGGGGGCCACCATGGTGTCCACTGCCCCAGCCCCAGTGACCAACTTGGCCATCCATCCCTGTGACATCAGCAACACTCAGTGTGACTGGAGAAAGGCCTGGCTGCGAATTTCATGTGTCCAGCCTGAGAACCTGGGCAGCACGTGATCTGAACATGCGTGCTGTGCTGGCAGTGGCGTGGACAGCAGCAGCACCTGGGCTGGCGCAGGTGCATGACGAAGGCCCCCTGAGGCAGCTCCTCCCACACTCCAGGAATGAGGATGGAGGCCACGTGGCCCTCGGCAAGGGCGTGTGAGCTGCAGTGTCTACACGCTAAACGCGGGTGGTGACCCCCACACGGGTGTGGGGCGGGTCGCTGATGTCACTGGAATCTGTGACCTGGCCCGAAGGACCAGGCCCTTCACAGAAATCCCACCAGGAGGCTGGCAGTCACCTCAGCCACCCTGGCCCGGGCGCTCTGGGGCACTCAGGGCAGGAGCACATGGGCCTTGTGGTGGTGACCACCCAGTGGGCAGGGGTGGCTCGCCACACTGCCTGTGCGAGACCATCACTGACAGGGGCAGGGGCCAGCCGTCCCGTGACAAGGCCTCTCTGGGTGCCCACCGGTGGCTCAGGACTTGGCGCAGGCCTCTGCTGTCTCATGGGATGGCAGCAGGTCCCTCATCTCTAAACTGCTTCCTGCCTGGCACATGAGGGCCAGCAGCTTCAGCTAGTGATGCCAGGGACTGCTCCCCAAGGAGCCTCCAGGGAGGACGTCTTCACAAATGAAGAAGGCCTGTCCAGGGAGAAGATAGGCCACAACCTGTCCCCGGGCACAAGCTATCTCCACCCTGCGTGGAGGCCAGCCGTGGCCTATGCCCGGCACACACCATCCTCTGCCCAGGGAGAAGGCAGGCTATGACCCATCCCCAGCATGTGTGCCTTGGGAATGGAGCCGGATACCAGCAGTAGGCCGTTCTCTTCTTGTGGTCCTGGGGAAATGGTCAAAATAGACCATCACAAGTTTCCCAGGGAACGGTCCCAGTGCCACCAACGTGGCTTACAGGCCATGTCTGGGTGAGGGGTCCAGAGAGAGCCGGCAGAATAGGCCTCAGAGCAGGGCAGCCACAGTCCGTGGTGGGTGTGGCAAGCCACCCCTGGCTGCCCTGTGTCTGCCTGCGAAGCCCGCCACCCCCTTCTGCTCCACAACAGGAGAGCACAGGCGAGTGGGGGCTGGGCTCCACAAAGGCAGGAGGAAGGGCAGTGCTGTGCGGCCCAAGGGGCAGAGTGCAGGACCAGCTCAGGGCGGGGACAGGGCAGGAAGAAGGGGAAGGCGCCAGGAAGGGCCCAGCCAGGTAGCAGCCAGGGCGCTGCACTCTGCCTACCCCACAGCAAGGCGGCCGAGCAGGCCTTGGGCCCCAGGCCCAGACCCCATGCACTTGGGTCCCCCAGCCTCAGGTCTGCTCCTGCCGCACACAGGACGCACGGGCGGGCCAGGGCCCACGCCATGAGCACCCCTCGAGCTCCTCCACCCCGTGGCCAGTGTATGTGCTCGAACTTCACCCTCCCACACACGCCGTCATCCCCACCTCAGAGACTGAGTTCGCAGAGACAGTTCTACGATCTCCAGCAAACAGGCAGAGACGTTTCTTACTCTCCTCTGACGTTCCCTACACCACCTGGGGCGGTGCCGAGTCCGAGCAGGCCTGACCCCAGCCCCCACACAACACTTCCTTCTTCTGGAGGGGAAAATAAGCGAGAATTACCTACCTGGCTTGAAGGTAATTAGGCAGGTCCTGTTGGTACAGGTTCCTTCTGGGAAAATCATTATCTTCAAACAAGGAGAAAAAGCCAGCATTAAATGACAGATTATATCCCCGAGTCCACAGTGCCCACCCTGCCGAGGAGAATGCCGGACTCCTGATGAGACGGACCACACAGCTGCGCTCTATGGAGAATCGGGTGCGCTGCAGGCGTGCACCCTGATCCACTCTACCGCTTCGAGCAGAAGCACCCCCTCGCGCACACACACAGTCTTCTTTCCACGCGTGCCTAGAAAGTGGGTTTGCGGGGTGCCCACCCTGCAGGCATGCTGGGAGTGGGCGAGATGCACCCTAACACACTGCCAACGGGCAGCCACCGTGGTCGTCACAGACAGGACAGGGCAGCAGAGGCTGCAGCAGCGAGCCATGGGGTGGCGGTGGGCACCGTGCATGTGGCTCTCAGGGCTCTGCTTCAGCGGGAACCAAACTCGGCTTCCAGCAGTGGGAGGTGCAGACCTGAAGCTGCTTCAGACCTGCGCCTGGGGTGGCGCCGGGCTCTGAGGCTGCTAGAGACCCTGCGGGGGCGGCGGTGGGGGGGAGAACGTGTGGGGCAGTACAGGGTCTGAGGAAGTCACTGCCCCCAGGGCACAGGGATCAGCGGGCCCACAGAGGGTCCCATGAAACCTCTGCTTCTAGAGATGGCTGCACTGAAAAGAAAAACCCGAGTGTGGGCCAGATGTGAAGCACGCAGTGAACACGGGCACGGCGCTCACATGCAGGCCAGCCGCGGCCCAGCGGGAACGCGGACTTGGGACAGTGCCCAGGAGGGAGGCCGGAAGCCTCTCACTTTAAAAAATGATGGCTCAGGGACTTTGGCGCCTCTGAGAACTGTTTGCTTGTATCTTTCCATTGTGTGTCCTAAGCCGAAGGTCCAGACACCCAGCACATGCATGGATTTGCACAGTGACAGCAAAGACAATGGCACAAAACACAGTCCAGAGAAAGGTGACCGGTTCTCCCCAGTCTCAAGTTCACACTGCTTCGCAGAGACCAGGGACACGGGCAGGACGATACCTGCGGCCACTTTCCGCCCGACTGCGCCCGTCTCTTGATCTCCTCCACGGTTCTTCGGCGCGAGTCCTGGTCGGACCGGGACACGAACACCGGCCGTATGTACCGGATCAGGGCTGCACAGGGTGGAGACAGATGGTGTGGGCCCACGGCCACAGCACAGCAGACTCAGGGTGGGGCCCGGGGAGACCTGTACCCCTGGAGACCCTGTACTGCACCAAGTAAGGAAAACCCGACCTGACATGAAGTCAGGAAAACCCCACCTCCAGAAACTTGGTGGGGGCTGGAGCCCTCGTTCCTGGAAGGCAGCAAACAACCCTTGTTACGAAGGGCCCAAGTGGTAGGCGTCACAGGGCCGGACCCCAGGACCAGCGTGGACGGTGTGAGTGCTCACCCGCTACTGGGTGGGGGGTTAAGGACCCCAGCCCCTGGCATCCCCAAAGACAAGCTGAGTCCTGACTCCCGGACCCGAGTGTGGGATCTCGTCTGGAAATGGTCCTTACAGATGATCACGCTGAGACAAGGCCATCCTGGGTGACACAGGCCCTGCCCAGCGACCGGGTCTTTGGGAGGGGCATGGGACACTCACACGGGAGCACACATGGTGGTACCCCGAGAGCCCCAGGACGTGTGGAAGAGGACAGAGGACACTGTCCCGGCCCCATGTGGGCCGCTCCTTCTGACACAGGCGTCTCAGGAGCACTTTTCCCAGCAGGAGTTGGGGGCCACCAGCACAGGGACAGGCTGGCCCTCTCTCTTCTCACTGTCCAGGAAGGGAACCCCATGGAGCCCAGCTCCCCCTGAGAAACCTCTGTGTGTCTTCCCAGGGCATGGGGACCCTGCCAAGGGGCTGGAAGCCACTCTGACAGCCCGGACCCTGCCAGGCCCCCAGACACACTTGGGGTTTCTCTCCCCTCCCCAGGGTCTCCACCTTCTCCTGGGGGTCTCCCCCACACTCCGGGGCTCCCCAACGCCGGGCTCACGCACTTCCCCAGATTGGGATGTCTCTGCTCTCCGCCTTCATTACAATGGAGGACATGGTCATGGTGACAGGGATGGCGTCAAAGTAGGACGAGTGTGGGGCCAGCGTGAGGATGGCGGCCTCACTGGGCAGCGCTTGCCGCCCCTTCACGGCCACGTGGTGGAAGCCGCCGGCGAACCACATGGCACGCATGATGGCCTTGAGCAGGATGTCCACCAGCCTGTAAGAGAGTGCAGGTCGGGTCAGCCGCTGGGGGCAGGGGCACAGGGCTCCGGCCCCAGCCACTAAGCCCCCTCGCAGGACGCGAGCGGCTGCCCTCAACACCACGAGCACTGCTTCTGGGAGAAGTGGGGGGACAGGGTAGACACAGTGGGGCAGGCCAGCCTGGCCAGGGCACCGGTTGCCACGGCCTCCTTGTAAAATGTGGAGGATGTGGGCATTCGAGTCTGTGTGTCCTTCCTGTCAGTGTCTGCCGGGCTCCAGCCCATCACTGCTCAGCCGTCATGGAAGCCACGTGTGCGCCTGGCCCACGAGGACACACACCTTGGGAGAGCCAGGCCCCAAGGGCTGCAGGCAACAGGGCAATCGCATGGGGTGAACTGTGTGGCAGCAAAACAGGAGCCTAAGATGGTACTGATTTCCCAGGGGCCTGAACAGGGCAGAGGCACAGCACGGCCCCTGGGAGCCACCCCGACAGGACCCACGCCAGCTGGGAGGATGAACAGTCACTGTGGTTACGACCTACGCGCGGGCTGCGGCCTGGCAGGGGCTGCGAGACGCGCTTGTGAACTGCGGCCAAAGGCTCCCAATGCACCGCTCTTCTGTGTGTAACTTTCACAACACGCACAAGAATAAAAGCCAAGCAGCGACAAACGCCACCTACGGAGGGGGAACGAGGCTGCAGCAGGCGCAGGAGCCAGGCCTGGGGGTACAGGCAGAGACCCGGAGGAACGGCACACCTGCAGTGTGTGCCGGGTGGTGGAGCAGACCCTGTGGACACGGGCTGGGCACCAGAAGGCAGTGACCTGGTGCTGAGGGGCAGCGGCCACCCCGAGAGGGCGCCACTCTGTGAGAGCCCGTGGAAGGCACAGCGCCTGCACTCTGGGGAGAGCGCACCGCCGGAGCAGGCCGTGGGGCGAGGGCAGGGCTGTTGCTCTGGGAAGGAAGGCACAGGAGGCACTGCTGGGATGGGCAGCTCCTGAGGCACCCAGGAGGCCAGACCTGGGGGTGTGCACAGTGCCCCACCGCCCGCTGCACAAGGGGGAGCCCGCCACTCCCAAGACACCGGCTGCCCTCCCGGCACCAATGGGCACCAACGAGGGGCACCGTGCCTGGCATCTGCGAACGGTGGCCGCGGGGAGGAAGGCTGAGGATGAGCAGGAGGCTCCTGAGCAAGGACCAGGAAGGACAGGCTCAGCCCTCAGCCTGGCCACCTCCAGTGCGTGGGGCGCTGCCCTGGCGCTGGCATGGGGCAGGGCACGCATGTGTGGGAAGGGGGAGGGTGTGGCCCCTGCAGCCTGCTTCAGGGCAGCCTGGGACCTGCAGCTCTCGGGGAGCGGAGGCGGCCCACGCAGGCCAGGCGGGTGCACGGAGGCACCAAGGTCCAGGGTGCTCCACTGAGGCGCACCACATCTCCTCGGTGTGAGGGGCCAGTTAGTGACCCTCAGGCCTGGCCACAGGGACCACGGCGTCTCTGCTGAGGACAGGGGATGGTCACGAATGTCAGAACAGCGGAGGTCAGCAGGACAGAGGATCCACGGTCAGGAGGGGCCGTCAAGAGGGGTGCGGCTGATCAAATCCCGGGGCCGCGTCTACACTGGTGGCCAAAGGCCAAGCCAACCCGACCCTAGTGCAGGAGACAGGCGGGGCTCACCTGACATTTCAGAACAGAGACCACAGACCCACAGGCACCTCCAAGCAGAGCGGCTCTGCTGGGCTGGCCCCGAGGGCGGGCAGGGGGGAGCCCGTCACACCCCCGGGCTCTGAGCCCTCCCCCGCAGCGCTCAGCCACGGCCCCTCCACAAGCTGGGCAGGCGCTGAGGACCGGCCCTGGAGGACCACATCCAGCCAGACACCTGGCCTGGCCGGACGCTGGCCCGCTCGGGACTTGCCTGGAATGGTCAGTGCCAGCCCCAATGGTCATGTTCTGCAAAAGATGCCCTGGTTTTCACATCTGAAAGTAACTTAAGACAAATGCCTTTTGCCAAACTGTCATTCACTGGAAGCCTTGGGTTTTTATTTTAGAAATAGCACAGTTTTAGAATGACACTAACTTCATTCAGCAAAAATCCTCCTTAACCTCCACCTACTCATGGCGGCCGTACTGTGCTTGTCGGGAGCCCAGCCGGGGTGGCGCAGGGCCGGCACTCTGTGCCGGCTACAATCCCATGACCTTGTGTCCCGGGCGGGCTACCCAAATCCCTGCACCCCTCAGCATCCCGGCGACAGCTGTGTGTTGGCTTCTGTTGGGGTGGGGTGGGGGGGCAATGCAGAGCCACCCAGAGAGTACCCAGAGCTGGTGACCAGGGACGCCTGGGGTGCCCGCAGCACTGCACGTGCAGGTCCAGGGCACAAGTGCACACTGCGCACCCTGATGTGTATACACTCACTACACGCAAACACACATTCTTACACATCCATGCGCTCATTCTATGTCCCACGCGCACGTGGAATAACAGTCTCTGCACACCCAGCTGCCCAGGCTGTCATGACTGTGGCCATGGAAACCCTCAGCATCACGCTGCGTGGAACACGGCACACACATCTTGCACACAGCGGAGTGTGAAGCCAGGTGGTCACTGCAGAGCCACCGAGTTAGCGCAGCGCCTAGATCAGGGCCGATACCACCTCAGAGAGACACCGTCCTCCCGGAACTCGGGCAATGGGGGGCATCCTCAGGACGCGAGGGTGTGGGGAGAGACGGCGCAGGCCAGCAGGCAGGGCTGTGGCGGGGGCCTCTCCAGCACCTGCTCCTGCACCCGAACCTTCCCCCGGCTGCCATGCGTTTGGAGCTCTGCTCCCAGCCCTGGGTCAGCCCTGCTGTGGTCCGGATGTGGTCTGGTTATATCTGATACCAAATCCCTGCTTTAGGGTTAATAGCTTGTCAACAGAACCTGGAGGGAAGCACGCTCTTCAAGGATGATTCAGAAAACCCAGAAAGGGGAAAGGAAGCGCCAAAACAGCAACCCCCCAGCCAGCTCTGGTGACGGAGTCTGCTGACACTAGCCTGTCGCATGGCCTGTCACCAGCGCAGGGCCACGGTGGCCAGCATCCCTGCCCTGCAGTACCAGGCCCAGAGCTCAGGGTCCCCATGTGCCCCTGGGCTCGTTCCTGGAGTGAGACCCTGAACAGCTGAGCCCTGGCCAGTACGCTATGCCTAGACAGGCCTGCGTAGACCATTAGGCTTTGGGGCCACGTGGCCCATCACGGCCACTCCACTCTGACAGCATGGGTGTGGCTGTGCCCCAGTAAAGCTTTATTTACCAAGGCAGGGGTGACATGGCCTTGCGCCAGCACCTCCATAAGCCACGAATGCATCTCCTTCTGCACAAGCATCAAGCCCTACCTACGCCGGCTCAGCAGCGCTGAGCACATGGACGGCTGTCAGGGTGCCGGCTGAGGACGGGGCAGCAGCCTATGGGACACGGAGGGCCTTGTGCAGTGTCAGGGCGTCAGGGAAACAAGGACGCATGGCATGTGGCTGGGGTGTGCACGGCCCTGTGTGAGCCCCTCCGCATGGCTCAGGATGGGCGTCTGCACACAGTGCCAGAGGCCCGGGCATGGGAGCTGGGAGGGACAGGCATCACCGTGGCCACTTTAATGCACCCAGCCTGGCCGGGCTTCCTCGCACAGACTGTGCCAAGGTTGCACCCCCCGGACCACTGCCCTTGTGCAAGAGCACAGGCCCATGTCACCAGGCTGCTGCATCAGTGTGGCTGCTCGGGACCCAAGGGTCCGGGGCGGGGACGGGCAGCCAGTGACCTCAGTCGGAGGAGGAGCCATCGCAGGGTCCCTGTGCCTTGGGCCTCGGAGCAGGACGGGGACAGGAAGGGATGGCAGGCTCCAGAGGAAGCTGTAGCAGGCGGGCAGGGCCCCCTGGAGTGCAGGCAGGGCGGGCAGGCTGGGTGGGAAGCCGCACGACCTCCCTGGGTGATGGCACGCCCCACTGCTGTGTGGCCCCTGCACGTGAAGCCTCCAGGGCCACTCACCTCCGCCACAGCGCTGGGGGCTGCTCGGGCTCCTTCTCGGCAGGTCCCAGCGAGGCCACGAGCGCCAAGGGCCAGGCCAGCAGCATCATGAAGGCAGCGAGCAGGAGCCGGATGGGGAACAGCGTGAGCGTCATGAAGGCCACCTGCAGGTAGGGAGATGTCAGCTGGAACACGCCACCTGGACCCAGACCTGCCCAGAGCCCGGCACACGGGGCCGAGTAGGGGCCAAGCCCGCGCTGCCTGCACCACGGCCCCCGCTCCCTGCCTCCTGGGCACTGCCACCCAGTTCCACAGCGTGGTGGAGCTGTCCCTGCACCAGCACAGCTGCCCTGCCCACTGTGCACCACGGCAGCCTCGCTCTGGACCACATTCTCCTTCCCTTGCGGTTGCCCTCCTGTCCACGGGGACACCCAACCGTCCCTAGTTGTCCTCCTGTCCCTGGGTGGCCCTCCTCTCCTGGGGGTCACCTTTCTGCAGTTACAGGAAAGCGGCCTCAGCACACAGGCCATGGGGACCCTGTGCCACCATGCGACGCACCTGGCAGGTGACACCCTGTATAGGTGGGCGCAGAGTACAGGGCGACGGCTGCGTTCTCCTGGTGGCAATGGCAGAGGCTCTGGCTGCAGGTCAGTGGGCATGGCATGGACACCGGGCCAAGGGACACCAAAGCTGCGGTCTGCAGAGTGGCCTGCACGGTCCTGCTGTCACTACCAGTCCTGACACCCCTCAAAAGGCACCAGGGAGTCAACTACAGGGTTACTCGCCCACCAAGGTGTAAGTGGGGCTACGCAATGTGATTCTGAGGCTTGGGCTAGGCTGCCGCTACTTCTCACTGCCTGTGGGAGGGGACTATGGGAGCCACCCTGGAGCCACCCCAGGGCTGAGCCTGGGGGTCTGGAGAGACATTGCTCTGCTGACGCACTTCCTCCTCTGCAGGACCCGACGACAGTGCCCTGGAGACACAGTTGTCCCCAGGACCTGGGCCCACGGCTGGTGATCCTGGGTCAGGGTGGAGCAAGTGGAGAGCCCAGCAGCTGACCCAGGACTGTGGTCAAGGGACAGCGGTCAGGACTGCAGGCCAGGTCAGGGCACCTGAGCATAACTCAGAGCCACTGCTGTGACAGCCACCGTATCACCACGCGCCAGGGCACATGACATGTAAGCACACATGCCCTCACACACAGGCCACCCTCACTACCACCCCCGAGGAGCCAGGAATCCACTGCTGGGAGTGGTGCTGTCAGGCAGGAGAGCGAGGCCTGGCCACCTCCTTTGCGAGGGCTGTCCGTTGTCACAGCTGCCCCTGGACACAGCCTGGCCCATGCAGACACAAGCAGGCGTCTGGGTTCTCCAATACCACATGGAGCTCACAGAACATGCTTAAGTAAATGCAAAGGAACTAAAATTATCCCATGCAATTATCAGACCATAGTGCAAAGAAATTAGATAACAAAAGCAAAAGAAAGCGCAAAAACTGCATAAACACATAGAAATTAAAGAACACCCTCCTGAACAACCAAGAAGAAATTAGACAGTTTCTACACTTAAATAATAATGCTGACACAACATACAGGAACTTATGGGACACAATAAAAGCAGTCCTAGGAGGGAAATTTGTCAGGAAAACAGAGAGTTTATTTGAGAGAGCTCAGATAAGTAACTTAATGTTGAACCCCAAACTTCTAGAAAAAGAAGAGCTAGTCAAGTTCAAAACTTGTACAAGGGAGGAAATTATATAAAGATCAGAGCAAAACTTAAAGCAATGGAAACGAAGAAAACAAAACAGAATCAGGGAATCAGAGTTGGTTTTTTGAAAGAGTAAATGAAACTAACAAGCTCTTAGCCAGACTTTCAAGAAAGGAAGACTCAAATCCATGCAATTAGGAATGAAGAGGGTGAAATCACAACAGACCCTGTGGAAATCCAGAAGATCATCAATACCTACAGAGAAGAGATGGATAGAATCCTAGATACACATGCATTACCACAGCCAAACCACAACGATATAAAATTCTAAATAACCCAGTATCAGTCAATGAAAGTGAGGATGTAATTAAAAACCTACTGACAAAGGAGAGTGCAGGTCCCGATGAACTCATTGCTAAATTCTATAAGGAATTTAGAGAAGATCTAATGCCACTACTCCTCAAACTTTTTAATGAAATTGAAAGGGAAGGAATACTCCCAAACTCATGTCTGGAAGCAACTATTACCCTGATACCAAAACCAGAGAAAGATCCAACCACAAAAGAGAACTACAGGCCAATCTCATTAATGAACACAGATGTGAAAATCCTCAAGAAAAACTGACAAACAGAATGCAGCAAATCATCAAGATTATACACCACGAACAAGCTGGATTCATTCCAGGCATGGAGGGATGGTTCAACTCACACAAGTCAACAAATGTAATACACCATACAAACAGAGCCAAGGACAAAAAAACGTGTTTTCATCCCAAAACATGCAGAAAAAGCTTCTGACAAAGTCAAACACCCATTCATGATTAAAACTCTACAGGAAATTGGAATAGATGGCCTTTATCTCAATCTGGTAAAAGCCATCTATGACAAACCAAGAGCTAATATCACACTAAATGGACAAAAACTAAAAGCTTTCACTCTAAAATCAGGAACAACACAAGGATGCCCAATATTGCACCACTTCTATTCAATATAGCTTTGGGAACATTATCAAGAGAAATTAGACAAGAGAAAAAAATAAAAGAAGTAAGGATAGGAAAGGAAAAAGTTAGATTTTTATTTGCAGATGACATGATACTCTACATAGAAGACCCCAAAACTCCACCAAAAGACGTGTAGATTTAATAACCAGATCCACTAGTATAGCTGGCTACAAGGCCAACACCCAAAAACCAATAGCATTCCTGTACCTGAATAACAAACTTACTGAGTGAGAAATCAGGGAAACAGCTCCTTTCACAATAGCACAAAGAAAAATGAAACACATAGGAATCAACGTAACAAAGTAAGTAAAAAGAGATAGGAGAGGATATCAGAAAATGGAAAGACATCCCTTGCTCTTGGGTAGGAAGAACCAATATAGTGAAAATGGCCATACTTACAAAATTGTTATACATATGTAATGCAGTTCCAATCAAAATACCAATAGCATATCCCGTAGAACTAGAGAAAACAATCCTAAAATTCATCTGAAATCAGAAGAGACCTAGAATAGCAAAAGCAATTCTGGGCATCAAAGGCAAGGCAGGGGCATCACAATCCCTCACATGCAATTACTACAAAGCTACTGTGACAAAATCAGCATGGTACCAGGGGAAAAAACCCCACAACAACAAATAGACCTGGGGATCAATGGAACAGATGAGAAGATGCAGAAATAACTACAAACACACTCAGCCACCTTATCTTCGACAAAGGGGCCAAACACCTTCACTGGAAGAAAGACAGCTATGTGTGTGTGTGTGTGTGTGTGTGTGTGTGTGTGTGTGTGTGTGTGAGAGAGAGAGAGAGAGAGAGAGAGAGAGAGAGAGAGAGAGAGAGAGAGGGACAGAGAGAGAGAGAAAGAGAGAGAAAGAGAGAGAGAGAGAGACAGAGAGAGACAGAGAGAGAGAGACAGATAGCAACAGAGAGACAGGCAGAAACAAGGTCTTGCTATGTAGCCCTGGCTGGCCTTGAACTCACAATGATCCTCCTGACTCAGCCTCTGATTGCTGGGATTGCAGGTATGGGCTACCATGTCCAGCAATAGCCTCTTAATAAATGGTGCTGGGAAAACTGGCTTTCCACATGCCAAAGACTAAAACTAGACCCTTATTTCTCACCATGCACTAAGCTAAAACCGAAATGGATCACAGATCTAAACAGTAAACAGAAACTCAATCTGCTGGAAGACAGAATAGGTGAAATTATTGAAGACAGAGTACAGGCAAAGACTTTACGAACAAAACCCCAATCGTGCAGGAAATATTACAATAAACCAACAACTGGGATCTCCTCTTGTCAAAAAGCTTTTGAACAGCAAAAGAAACCACCAATAAGAATGAAGAGACAACCCATGCAGTGGGAAAAAATTTTTGCCAGCTGTTCCTCAAAGGGCTAACACCTAGAATACAGAAATAACTGAAATCAGACTCCCCAAATTTAAGACCCAATCCAAAAATGGGCATCTAAAATGAACAGACACCTCTCAGATGAAATAGAAATGGTGAATAAATATATGAAAAAGTGTTCAACAACACTTGTCATTGAAGAGATGCAAATTAAAACAACACTGAGATTTGATCTCACTCTAGAAAGTACGGCTATCATTAAGAAATCAACCAGAGGCCGGGCGTGGTGGCACATGCCTGTAATCCCAGCACTCAGGAGGCTGAGACAGGAGGATCTTTGTGAGTTTGAGACCAGCCTGGACTACAAAGTGAGCTCAAGGCCCACCTGGACTGCACAGTGAGACTCTGTCTCAAAAAGACAAAAAGAAAGAAAAGGAAGGAAAGAAAGAAAGAAAGAAAGAAGGAAAGAAAGAAAGAAAGAAAGAAAGAAAGAAAGAAAGAAAGAAAGAAAGAAAGAAAGAAAGAAGAAGCAAATGCTTCAGGGGCTGTGGGGGAAAAGGAACCCTTCTTCACTGGTGGTGGGAGTGTAGACTGGTGCAACCACTGTGGAAATCAGTGTGGAGATTCCTCAAAAAACTAGGGCTACAGGCCCCATTTGATTCAGCTATTCCTCTTCTGGGTATCTTCCCAGAAGAATTAAAAGCATCATATCATAACAGTATGTGCACACCCATGTTTACAGCTACACAATTTGTAATAGCTAAATCTTGGAAACAGCCCAAATGCTCATCAACCAGTGAATGGATAAAGAAGATGTGGTTTTTTAAGATAATCAAGTATTATTCTGCCATAAAGGATAAACTTAAGACATTTCTAGGTAAATTTCTAGGTAAATGGTACCTTGAGACCATACCCTTAAGTGAAATAAATGGGACACGTGTAAATATTACATTGTTTCTCTCCTGTGAGAAACCAAAAAAGGAAACAAGGACTAAAACATGTAACAGATATTGGGAAACAGGAAGAAAATGTTCAAATGTGAAGGAGAAAAAGGGACAGGGAGGGGAAAGGAAAAGAAAAAAACTGAGACTAGAAGGAAAAATTGGAAAC